TACTAATCTTTATATATATATATATATATATATATATATATATATCACGCTAATACGGAAAGAAAGGACGGTACTTCCTGGCGGAAGGTTCTCACAACCGTGGTGTCGTTTGTCTTGTGTTGCAGAAACTTCTCAACTAGCAGCCACAACGTCACCAAGAAATGTTGTTTTTGATGTGTTGTACCGTCTTTTCACATGGAGTCTATCCGGATGCAAAATCTTCCCAGTTTTTGCACGAGTTTTTTCTCGAGTACCTTCGGCTAACCACATCGGCTCAGAAAGTCACATTCACCGTCATACTTTGCGTGGAGTAAAACAGTGTGTCCAAAACACTCCGGTGAATGAAATCCAACAATATTAGCCTTTTCACTCGATGCTTCTGACTTACACCCTCGGTTAGAACCTGAGAGTATCCTTCTCTTGTCTATGTGTGAACACACTTTGTAGTAGATTGCTTATAACAAACAGAAACGCTGTGCATGTACTTCACTGAGAGTAACTGGATTAATTCATTGTTTGACCTTTTGTCTATTCGTGTGCGCCACTTGTCATTTCCGGTACTTCCAAGTCACCGTTCTCTCAGTCTCTGACCCAACAATGTCTTATCTAAGAGCACAGTGCGCATGACCTCTGGACTTTCTATCTGTTACGTGTTAGCAAACGATATCAAACCATGAGAATTCGTCAACACGAATTCAAGATGAGCCAAAATGATTACACTCATTTCATTTTCGTTTGCACAGCTACCTGACGTTTATTGTTTTATGGACTACCAGTGATCCACTCACGTTAGCTCTTTTTTTTGTTTCAGCTTCGTTTTTGCCCGTTTCTCTGAACGGTGCAGCTGCAGCGGCCGCGACCTACACTCTCACAGCCACGTCGCCAGTCACAGCCCGACAACCTAGCGCCACCTACGCCTATCTACCTGGGTATTATCTGTCGCCAGGTGAGTGCCCGTTGTCACAACCGCTGTCGGTGTTCCTACCGCCACCCGCTCTGCTACCCCCCTACACCAACATGATTTCAATGACATGAGAGAGCGGGAGAAAGAGGTGGACGGCGTGCGATGGAGGAAACCGTCTGTGCGTCAACCGAGGTGTACATCCGAATATTTAAGCCTAAAGAACATTTGTAGCTACCAGTTCTCAACCTGAAACACGTATAAACGCTCCGGAAAATAACAGCCGTGTTCGTCTCAATCCTCATTCGATATTAAGCGCCATAACTGGGGCCTATCTCTCAGTCAGTCATTGATCTGAATTATGTATTTCCTGAGATTGCATGTTACACTGCTACTATTGCCGCTACTCGTCACTACCTGTTGTCCTAAGTATCCTGTGTGTAGCCATCGTGATGTTTTCTTTTTCATTTATTTGCCGTATTTTAATCCACGCCTCTCGTATACGTATATGTTCCAATCCCATCCCCTTCGACTGTCGTGTTATATACCATGCACGTTGGTGTGTTTCTGTCTTTCTCGGACGTTCTTTTCAGTTTTATGGTTTCCTATTTCGTCTGTGGTCTTCCATTTGTGCGCCGTTTGCCTTTTTCATTCTCTTATATTGCTGGCTCTTTGAACGTGCTATCCCTCTCCCCCCACATCCTCGTTCAACCGACTCCAAACCCCCACACGCGTGATATGAATCAAACTAATTTTTACCTTGCTCAGCTGATCCGATCTGTGTGGTTCTATTCTTATTTCGCCTTGTTCCACCCGAAAGCTGTGCTTCTCCAGGACAAACCCAAGATTTGAGTCAGCTCAGTATTCTTATCTATGGAGATCCTTGGGACAGAATGGGCCTGGATCGAACACAGCCTTGTTTATTTAACGGGACCATGAGCCGTACATTTGTTATGCGTGTCCATTTACTGTCACGTATATTTATACATGTATATTCAGCATGAATTTCACTGTGCTCACCTTCTCTATCCGCTTTTTATTTGAAAAGGAGTTTGGAGACATGTGATTTTTGACGTTTTCTCTAGTCGCGTTTTTCGTTCACCTCGGCAGGCAAGCAAAATATAAATTCACACGGTCGAAAACGATGCTGTGCACACATGATAAATACGAGCTGCCGCTAATTTTGAGCAACATCAACAAAAGACTTACTCCTGTTTTAGAAGCCACTCCGGCAATTGTATGACATTTTTTCTTCAACAACCTTCGTTTTATCCTTCCTTATTTTTCTTTTGCTTATTTTGTGTATTTGTGATGTCTTTTTCTCTTCTTCACGTACTCACAGACCTCCACTGCGGTAAAACCCAACCTAACCTTTGCTCTTACTTCTATTTCCCCATCCCCAAATGCTATTTTTACCTTTCCCTTCCACGTACTAGCCATTGGTTTCTCTTGACGAATGGCGTAATTATGAGGCGCTCCTGTGAGATGATCCAACAAGATAGGTGCCGTCTTTTTCATCCGCTCACAAAGAACACGTTCTCACATATATTATAGCCCAGCCCCCACCTTATCTCCTCTTGAGCGTCACTGAACTCAGGCAGTTCACGAGAAGGATAGAACAGAATAAACATACGAAAACCGCCAACCCCGCCCATTTCAAATCAACGTTACGACTATTTTTGTAAACAATAACCTAAACTAAAAATGCAATGAACAACTGTATTTGAGAGGAGAAATTGGCCATAGATGCCATGGTTCGTTTGTTCGGCTACACTTGGAAACCCACCTTCCCCGTTGTACATGTTCCAAAAAATTTCCCAATCCGTTTTCGTACAGCCGGAGTCCACTGTCCTTCAACTACGTGAGACAGTCAAGCAGCGAATGTTATTACTGTCTTCATGTTTTTGTTGGTTTTCCTCGTGTTTTCCTCTACCTGTGTAAAGATGCAAACAGCAACAATAACCATCCCCCCACACACACAAACAAACAAACAAACACCCATACAAAACTATCTTCATTTTCATCATCCCGTCGTCCAGATTGTGATTGTTCGATTTTCTATCCACCATATGTGCCGCCAAATCAAAAGCCACCTTGCCATTTTTTTTAACAGAAGAGGCATCTACCACATCATGTGTCTAATCACGCAGCCTGTGTAAGCATGTCACCTTATCTCCTCTTCACACTCCCCATAATTCTCAATCGGTCTTGAATCAACACCAATGCCGTCTGAGCTTCTTTATCGATTTGTATAAATTGCACTCATCTCCATTGTGATGAAACACCTCATGCAACAAAACATTGCGAAATCATTACCACCTTGAGTTGTGAACCCACATTTTCGACTCCATCCTGCCCTAACCTCAGCTGTTCTCTCAAACCCCCATTCTCCGCGTCAAAACACAAACCCAACGAATCACAAGTTTTTGTGCGTTCCAAATTCAAATAAACGTACAAGGCGATCACTTCGTAAAATTTTACTTCTATCCGTCATTCCAAAAGTGTTCGGGTTAGTAACTGTGGCTCACTACCAGAACAGTGATGGCTTCGCTTGGAAATTCCAGTCAGCTTGTTACCGACTTGTTCAGTACTTGTCTTATGCTACGTTGTCCGTCTGTCATTAGATGTGCATCGTGTCGCATGGAAACCGTTGCAACCAAGTGTTGTTGGGCCTTCATCAACGTTCGTTAGTTTTGTCATTCACTTTAACTGTTGGAATTCATCTAGTCTGTGCGAACCCCATAAGAATTTTCCGTAAGAGCTGATTACCTTCGGACCCAGTATAGGCAAGTCTTGCACGCTCAACTATGATTTCGCTGGGCTACTTTCGATTTCTCGGAGCAGGTATGTGGCACTGCACCCATATAGGACAAATTTGAACGCAGTCACCCGTTTGTTTGGTGCGTAGATTGATCATATGAGAAGATGTAAGTTTTGCCCCTGTCTCACTCAAAAGGTCTCACGATATGAAGCTGAAGCTATCCTTGTAGGAAGTTCAAGGTGTCCAAATGTGAGATCGGGGTGCGAAGCGCTCCAGATAGGTATCAGATTGCCTAACTGTAGTGCCGTAGATTTGAATTAGAACATCTTACCTTGCAAAGAGCGTAGTTGTTTATTAGTCAGTGGAATGCGTGCACGCGAACGTTCTGGAGCGTAATGCACATCAAGACAGCCTTCAGACAACCTCGTGCCTGAAGATGATGTTCCGCGGAGAATCACATGCCGCAATTACATGTGAATGTGAATTGGTCAGTTCTTTTTCTCCGTATCGAATTCTTTCTTTACGTCGGTCATATCGTACTGAATGGCACAAGTTAACCCCTGTTTTGCTGCGGTGTGAAATGTGCTAGCTTCCTGAAGCTTCACTGTCACGTTACCCCAGCCCACACTTGGCCAGGATGGTTTTAACTGTGCGGTTAATCAACACTTTGATCTTCGATCACGCCTTACGTTTAGGTACGTATTCTATGGAGGTTGGAGACTACCTGAAACAGCCGCCACTCGCAACTGGGCACTTACCCCGCCTCCACCAAGGTGGGAATTGATTTCGAAATCCCCGACAACGTGGACCTGAATAATTGGTCTTCAATAGATAAATGCGTTTTAAATGCCGCAGTGCGCTGAGCCGGAAACATAAACGATCGATTTTTGATAATGATTTCGTGCTTGTCCACTCCAGTCATCCAAAGAGGCAAATCGAAATAGTCTTGATGGTTAGGGATAATTCAACTTAAAGGCATTAATCTAACATGAAATTCACTCTTCCGCAAGCCTACAAGTCGCACTGGTTCATAGCTGTACCGTGAACGTCTTCTACACGACTGTTTTGAGCAGTCTTGTAATGACGTAACATGCGTGAATCCGTGTCCACAGGTTTTACGTAGCAGCCTTTATAAAACTGAGCGCCGCGATCTGTCGTTTAGGTCACTTTGACCTGCGTGTTCATTTGAAATTGACCGTTCCTGAGATCACTTGTACTTTTATCCAGCAAGCCTGAAGACAGACGCGATCCCGGTCGATTAATTTCATTCTCGACTCGTAATTCTCGTAGTGATAACACAATGGATCACGCCGTTCTTCACATCTGTCCTCTCTCACCATGGTAGCTTTGGTGGGTGACCTAGCTGCTAATCGGACTTTTGACAGTCATCCTAATGAATCGTATGAGTGGATTTGCATTTGCTTGTTGGTTTCACCGGTGACACTAGCTCAAGTGTAAGTGTTCAGCAATAAGTCGTTCGCTTATTCGTTTTCAAGCACCGGTTGAGGCTCAAATGAGCCATCGTGGTAGCGGCTTACCGATGACGGTGCATTCATTAAGCAAGTGCACCGTTAGACGGTCTTTTTTCAGTGTGATATGATTGCTGGCCATAGCGTTTGTTGACCTATTCAGATGACCTGGTTACTCGTAAATGGTTCGATTCCTTCACCAGTCGATTTGCCTGGAGTACTTGAGATGGCCAAAAGTAGGGCTTGTTTTTATCCTAAGTTCACGGCAGCATTATCTTCAGATAACAAATATCTCAACCTCAGTCATCAGGACCAATGAATTCTTTGCTGGAATATGTCCACCTGAGAAGTTCAATAGAGAAAACACGTCTGGCATCACAGCTTTCCGGGGTGCTAGCACACCTCTAGTCTAAACGTCTGCAGAAATCCCAGGACCGTAACATTTTTATACCCGACCCTTCAACATGAAACTATCCAACTGTTCATTCGTAGTCAGGTTGTGTCGACAGAAGTGGATAAGCCAAAGTCATCACCTTGCTCGTGTCCCCAGATGCGCGAAACGATAGGCAATGTCAGCGGAGTATCAGTGAAATCATTCAATTGCGACATCCTTTCGTTTCCTTGTTGTCGTGCTACCTGGAGGCATCAAGAGGTGTGGTATGCTGCAAGGTCGTCTAGGCTTAGACAGGACCGGCCGAAAAGCCAGGGGTAATTATGAACCTCTCAGTTAGTAGCTTTTACCTCTAACACACCTGTCTCGGGCTGGTACTGTACTCAACTATATTTCATCCATTTTACTGTGCCCAACTGCAAATGCCTATGTCCCACATACGAATACTTTATCACTTTTCTAACTAATTGGATATCATTATACCTGTAACAAGTTGTCATGGTTACCTCACGTCCCCGTTATTTTTCCCCAACTTGACAGAAAGGAATTTTCAGTATTGAGGACACAGATGTGTAACTTTCCATTCTGCCTAGAAATTCAACATAGTTCTTAATCCCGGACTTACGGCAGAAGGCAAAGACCTAGCGATAGTCATATGTAACCGCACCGATATTCATTGTATGCAGCGGATCGTCACTTCTACTTGGTTGGTTTGGACGTCCAAATTGTATAGTAGTTTTAGAGGTGAGGAAATTCTGCAGTCACTAACATGACAGGACAAATGGACCAAGCTGTGTCGCTGCATCTTCTTAAACAAAATAGTGAAACTCTCTGTTGTGTCGAGGATTATCAAATGATATTTTTCCTGCCTGTACATTTGAAGTTGCCAGGGGTTCCTGGGTATCTGACTGTGAACTGTGCGCTTTGAATGCCGTCTCAAAAAAACTAGGGCCAGATCTTGTGGATTTACTGATCAGCTGACTGATTCACCTCGTGCGATAGAGGATTTAGGTTTCGCCCCACAACCGGTGCATAATCTGGCGGTCGACCATTCCGTCAGAAGCGCTGGTGTGTGGGCATGTAATTAAGTATTTCATTCACAATGAGGTCCCATAAGTGGTCCGATATTTTTCGGAACTAAATGGTCCAAATCCACTAAGGCGCTTTGATGATTCGACCACATTGTTGGTATTTTGGTCATTTGGTGTACCAGATGCGGAACATTTTGCTTGCTTCGTCCTCGGTAGGTTTTGGGTGTTATCCTCCGGTTTGAACATCCGATAGACAAAGCCCTTCGATATTGATTCATTGTCATTGGTTTGACCTAAAAATCCGGTCGCGATACCTATTTTGTCCTCGCTGTGTTACTACCGAAGGTGGCTCCCATCCACTCGAGTCGTTCAACATTGTGCTGAGTTGTATGGATGTCCGATTGGGATAATTTACTTAAAAAAACTTTGTGCTTTGTGAAACATCAACCATGGTCAACACAAAACGCGAAACGAAAATGCCATACATTCCAAGTATATGTGTGCACTTTTATTAATATTTCGTGCGGCGTGCGAAGTCTATCAATGCCGAAAAGCTGACGTGCACTGGGAATCATCAGAGATGCGCCGCTCACTGATCTCTGAGAATTTTCGAACTCGCGACCTTCACGTCAGTAGCTGAGCCATACCATAGTTTCTAAGCGGTCCCTAGTCGATAGCCTCCTAATTACCAATTTATGGGTTTCCGTTGGGCCGACTGCATTTTGCACCCAACTTTGAGATGCTCATCGCTGTACAGTGTTTCTCGGCTTTTCAGCATAGGTTGGCCTCACTTACAGAGTGAAACCTCAGTTGAAAAGTACCAAATCTCGCCACACCACCGTCAGTTAATGAGTAGCTCAGAGGAAGAATAGTTTCATTAAACGAGTGAAGCTTCTTTCTGAGAAGTCGACATTCAAGGGGTCAGGCAATACGTGATCACTTGTGATTTCTGCGATTAAAGGATGGGTGGCCCTATGTACTATCTAAGTGAGAGTTAATCACGCTACTGATCAGCCGCTCGTGGCCAAACGGTTGCGTTCAGCCGCTGATTGGATGGTTGCGGGTTCGAAACGGAGTTTCGTGAGATGCGTGGTTCCCAATAAGGAATCAGTTCTCCGTTTTCAGCAGAACAAAATCTCAGTCGATAACGATCAAACCTTACACTACCATCGAAACCTTGTACCGAAAAAAACAAGGAGGCCTGAAAGAGGAGGAGAACAGGAATTTCATTTATCTCATGGTCTCTGAAGCATTTAACTTTTTTTGACCATAACAAACAAATGAGTCATTTGCGTCGCCAAATTTTCGGTATCAAGGATGAATCCTAGTGTGACAGGAGCTAATAGGATTAAACCCTGCGTATCACATTTCTGTCGATTAGCATTAGAAACATGACACCACGACCGGATCTTTTTCCTAGCGAAGTCCTACGATTTGCGTATGTGTGATAAATGATAATAAATCGGGACGTGAGATCCGTTTACATCTCCGAGAAACAGGCGGAAAAAGCAGAAGGTATGTGCGCGCTTACGGAAATGTCCTTTTTCTAAAAGAGATATTTAATGAGTCCTGTGCTCCAAAATAAAGAATATTTTAGCCGTGTGTTCGACTGCATCTTCCAGTCAAACGCAAACCAGCGAGAAGCCGTAAACCTGATCACTGTTGGAACACTGTCTCGTCCATAGCGTTTGCATAAATCTGTAGGATTAGCCTTATAGATCCGTCGTCTCTAAATACTATTCCAACTTTTTCTTCCTTCCTTTTTGCTTCCGATCCAACCAGGCAACTTCTGCATTTTATCAGTAACCCTGTGGACTCAGCATGTTCTTCTGGCTTAGGGCGCGTATGTTACCTCTCTTGAGAATCTATGGT